GTATGATCTTACACTACACTTTATTTGGGTAGCCCGAGTTAGATTGGTTTGACTATTTTGGTTGACGAGTTTGACCGGTTTGACTCTTCTGGTTGACGAGTTTGACTGATATTCATATAATTGGTCATATGTAGGACATCAATCTGTGCAAGAATCTGACAATGATCAAGAGGATATAGAAATTGCACAGAATGAGCAAGGTATGATCTTACACTACACTTTATTTGGGTAGCCCGAGTTAGATTGGTTTGACTATTTTGGTTGACGAGTTTGACCGGTTTGACTCTTCTGGTTGACGAGTTTGACTGATATTCATATAATTGGTCATATGTAGGACATCATCAATCTGTGCAAGAATCTGACAATGATCAAGAGGATATAGAAATGGCACAGAACGAACAAGGTATGATCTTACACTACACTTTATTTGGGCAGCTCGAGTTAGATTGGTTTGACTCTTTTGGTTGACGAGTTTGACCGGTTTGACTCTTCTGGTTGACGAGTTTGACTGATATTCATATAATTGCTCATATGTAGGACATCATCAATCTGTGCAAAAATCCGATAATGATCAAGAGGATGTAGAATTTGCACAACACGAACAAGGTATGGACTGATATGTGTTTATATGGTCAAAGTAGACAAACTGATTTGGGTTGACGAGTTTGATTGATGTTCAGATAATTGGTCATATGCAGGAACTGATGATGAAGAAGATGATAGTGATGATAGTGATGCGATTCCCCCTACTCCTAGAGCAGTATCTAATATTATTTTGGTTTCGACTGATGATGATGATGGAGGGATACCTGCTCAGGAAAAGGAGGATGTCGAGGTCCCTGCTGCTCCCAAGGATCCAGTTCAGAGTAGTAAACGACCGAAGAGGAAAATAAAGCCAACTCTTAAAAGTCCATATACTACTTTGGGCTCGACTGATCCACCCTCCAAAAAACGACGGGCAAAGAGAGAGACAAGAGGTAGAAAAGGAAAGAAGGACAAAGATCGTGTAGAATCTGCATTGGTCCCAGTAGAAGAAGGTGTTTCATGCCCAGTAGAAGAAGGTGCATTGGTGCCGATAGAATCCGCATTGGTGCCGATATCTGTAGCTCCTCCAGGTTATGTGTGGATCCCTCGACAGCCTATGGTCTATGACAATGTTGTGCGCGTTGAAAGTTTTATTGAGACAAACACAAGAAAAGCGACTGCTCTCTTCAAGTTTATGCAAAAACCGAGAGAAGAGAGGTTATGGATGTCGTATCTGAACATCAATCAAACTCGTCAACCCAAATCAGTTTGTCTACTTTGACCATATAAACACATATCAGTCCATACCTTGTTCGTGTTGTGCAAATTCTACATCCTCTTGATCATTATCAGATTTTTGCACAGATTGATGATGTCCTACATATGAGCAATTATATGAATATCAGTCAAACTCGTCAACCAGAAGAGTCAAAC